CAATAATATCAAGATCTACCGACTCTTATTTGATTTCGCCAAGGAAAACAACCTACTCATCTAAATCTCACATACCCTGCCGAAAATGGTCGATTAAAACGGATTTAAAAAAATGTAATCCAAATCGATCGGGATTTCTGCACCGAAAATGTGGTATTAAAACCGATTGAAAATAGTCAAATCGAATTTAGTACCCTTCAAGCAAGTTAATGTTGGGTGATATACATCCACCTCAATCCGAAATTATATGATTTCATAAGTTGTAATTAAACCTGTTTTAATGCAATTGAATTGGAATTTACCATAGTCAATCCATAGGTAAAAATAATCCTTTTTAATAAAAAATTCCATCATTTCGCAGATGAAAAGCAAATCGATTTTATGTAGTGTCAAGTCGGATTTGCTGTTATCATGAGTCACAATCAATTATTGAATCGGTGTTTCTGCAATTGAAACGAACTCCAGTTTTTTTATGTGCCACGGCCCTTATGCCCGTATCAGACTACTCATTGAAAATTAAAGATTGAAGATTGAAGATTGAAATTTGACCAATCAGAATAAAGAAATTTTAGTCCTTTTTGTTCTGATTAGTCAAATTCCAATCTTTAATCTTCAATCTTCAATTTTCAATGCGTAGTCTGATACGGGCTTTAAAGCCTATCACACACAGGTGCTTTCTGATTGGCTGAGGCAATCGCAATCGCAGCCGCGAGCCGCTAGTGTAATTCGGGCTTTACGTTACGTTAAGTACTAACCGTAAACTTAGGGCCGTGGCACATAAAAAAACTTAAACAGTAAAGGCTGATTTATGCAGGCCGTAACTGTTAGTGCCGGTCTACAATATGTGATTTAAGCCTTAAGCCTTAAGAAATTGACTAATCACAGTCGAGTATTCTCTTCATACTTGATTGTGATTGGAAATCTAGACAAGGAGCGACAATCGCGTGCTGTCCTTGTTCTTCTAACGTATCGCTTTGATTAAAACCGATTAAAACGGATTATGTTTTAATCGGTTTTAATCGACCATTTTCGGCAGGGTACATTCAGTTTAACTAGCAAATGGTGTATAGACGATTCCTTCGGGAAGTCTCGCAGTCAAATAGAGAAGAAGAAGAAGTAGTCAGTTCTTATATTTAAGACCGTCTTAGGGCCACCGCTTCAATTTTTGACACAATTCTTATACAGGAAATTCAGATATTGAACTGATTTTTGGCAAATCGGACAAATGATTGTTCGATTTTCACTTATTCGAACAATTTCCCAGATAGCCAAGTCTGTTCGAACAGATTTTGCCAAACGTCTGCTACAAATTTTTGTCAGCAGAAATCTGATGATAAATTGGCAGTAGAAATCAAACAGAATTTGCAGCTTTTAGCATTCATATAATTTATTGAAATAGTATAGTTTATTCGCTTACAGCTATGCGGCGCACTATTCACTTTCTATACCCGTATTCAAGTTCTTGTCACGAGCGTATATAATGTCTGCAAAATGCGGCTAATAACATCGTAATTATTTCTATCAGTTTTATTTCTGATACGACTCCCATACCGGGAATTCAGATATTAAACTGATTTTTAGAAAATCAGACAGATAAATGTCCGATTTTCACTTATTCGGAAAGTTTGTTAGCCTAGTTGCATTACTGTTTTTTTGCCACGAGAGGCCAAAAAGCATTTTCAGGCCGTATCTCGGCTATAAAGCGATACGCTAGAGGAACAAGGATAACGTGATCGTTGATCCTTTTCTATCTTTTCTCTCCACGGTGCGTCCACGCGAGCAATTCAATCGTGTGTGTACGTATATGGACATACACCTTTAATGCGTAGTAAGGTTCTACAAAGGTTTACAACTTTGCACGCGAAACGAGGTTCAACCCAAATCTATGTGTCTAGTTTTTTGATAGTGGAGCCTCCCCGTAGGGGGGGTGGAACATACTGCCCCCATGCATATACTTTTTAATGCGAAGTAAGGTTCCACATAGGTTTACAACTTTCCACGCGAAGCGAGGTTCAACGCAAACCTATGTGTCTAGTTTTTTTATAGTGGAGCCCCCCCATAGGGGAGGTGGAACATACTGCCCCCGTGCATATACTTTTTAATGCGAAGTAAGGTTCCACATAGGTTTACAACTTTCCCCGCGAAACGAGGTTTAACGCAAACCTATGTGTCTAGTCTTCTGATAGTGGAGCCCCCCCGTAGGGGGGGGCGGAACATACTGCACCCATGCATATACTTTTTAATGCGAAGTAAGGTTCCACATAGGTTTACAACTTTCCCCGCGAAACGAGGTTCAACGCAAACCTATGTGTCTAGTCTTCTGATAGTGGAGCCCCCCCGTAGGGGAGGCGGAACCCACTGTGTCAGCGCATACATTTCCCCATCCACACAACAATTGTAGGATGGACCTAGCTTCGCGATGGAGACTGTGTCCGATCGGAACTGTGTCCAATCGGGTCTGTGTCCAATTGAGCCTGTGTCCGATCGGGCCTGTGTCCGATCGGGCCTGTGTTCAATTGCAACCATATGTGTCCGATTGGAATTGTGTCCGATTGGGTCTATGTCCGATCGAGCCTGTGTCCGATTGGGACTGTGTCCGATTGCAACAGTATGTGTCCGATCGGAACTGTGTCCAATCGGGTCTGTGTCCAATCGAGCCTGTGTCGGATCGGGACTGTGTCCGATCGAGCCTGTGTCCGATTGGGTCTGTGTCCGATTGGGAAATATTGTCGTGTCCGATCGGTAATGTGCGCAATTGAGACTCACTCTATGGACATATACCTCTACATAGAGATCGAGAATTTATTTGTCAGATTGGTAATCCTGAAGTCGGAGTTTCGCATTGTCACCGCGCGAGGTCTCCAATATCAATTCGGAGTTTGGCCGTCACTCCTGCCGACCCTTAAGTTTTACTGCTTAAGTTTTTTTATGTGCCACGGCCCTTAGATTCGTCCGTAACCTTAAACTTCAGTCAACGCACAGAGAAAAACGTAACGTAACAAAAGCATACTACGTTACGTTTTTCTCTGTGCGTTGACTGAAGTTTAAGGTTACCGACGAATCTAAGTTTACGGTTAGTACTTAACGTAACGTAACGCGTTACGGAAGAGCTTGTGCGGTGGCCCTTAAGCACAATCTTAAGATGTCCTAAACCAATCACAGAGCCGTATTAGCATTTTAAGACATTACTTAAGACCATAGACATAGTATATCTAGACTGAGTGTTGAGAAGTCGGGGCCAAGGTGCACGTAGAAAAGGACATACTCTGTTTCGTGCCCTTTGCGTTCTTAAGACGGTCTTGAAATAAGAACTGGCTATGGGCTACCGCACACAAATTGACATAGCTGCATATGCATAGCATAAGACCGTCTGGACCAATGAGCATGTTATGTAAATCAATATGGCGATTTTATTTCGATGCTCATTGGTCCAGACGGTCTTATGCTATGCATATGCAGCTATGTCAATTTGTGTGCGGTAGCCCATAGCCAGTTCTTATTTCAAGACCGTCTTAAGCATAGACATATGTTGCTTTCCATTTACATCAAAACTCAGATAATTCTCACTTGCGTTCTCTCTCGCTCGCACGTAG